CGCTCTCTGCCTCGGTATCCTCACGTGCAGAACGGGAAAGATGATGATGCCATGCATGTCAGAGGCCCGTGTAAACCTCACGTGGTCTGGGAACTGTTTACTCCAAAGCTGGGCACGGATCAGCACTCGGGAGGAGCCGGTTATTGGTTTTTCTGTCATAACCTCAGGATACCGGACTCCAGGGAAGGATGGGGTCACAGCCAACGTAACGTCTGTTTCAGCCTCAGTTCCTGGCAAACCTACATCCAGCAGGCTGAACCGGTGTCGCTGAATGACAGACTAGATTCTCCCTCTCTTCCACCCTCGGTTTGTCTTTTCCAATCATTAGATCTGTTCTCCAGTAAAGGCAAGGCACGCGGGTGGCGGGGGAGGTAGAGGCAGTGGGGTGCCAGCGCTGTGAGACGGGACTGATAGGGACTGGGCCGCAGTGGTGTCCTGGTTTCCGGCTTCCTCCTGTAGCTGCCGGAACCCCTGACTCTTGCTCGTTAGCCTCCCTGGCCCCGTACACTGTGCACTGACTCTCCATTCTCGCTGGCAGGCAGTTCCTGGAGAGAAGACGCAGATGGGGGTCCTTGCTTCCTTGCCGAGCAGGTTAACGGCACAGCACAGGGATGGCTGCTGGGGGAGCCGGGGAGAGGGGAGACGGAAACCCACATGCGCTGAGGCACTCCCTCACAGCGCCGGTCTTGGCGAGGGAGCTTGCGTGTCACCATCGCAGCAGCCCTGCAAAGAAGGTATTTACTATCTCCACTGTACAGATTGGGTCACTTGCTCCGAGCCACCGCTGGCCCCAACATGCGAATCCAACCTGAATCCACTCAGCGCCAAGAGTCACCCTCTTCCTTTAGAGTGAGGGAGGGTTATAGGACTAAGATAAACGGACCGGTGCTTGACAAATGACTTCTCCTGCACTTTATGTCAAATCAGGGACACCTGACTCAGAGCTGCAAGGTTGGGCCAACCTGGCTGGAAAAAGAACGCCCCGTGGAAGGAAATCTGTTCACAGGCCCCACAAGCCCTAGGAAACAAAGTACAGGAAAGGCCTGCCCTGCCTCTTGACCAGGTGGACGGCTGCAGCCTGTCGTCACCAGCAAACCCATCTCCATCCGGATTTACCTCCTCGGAGTCATACTTTGCTGTCGTTCAGTTGATCAATGGCTTTCTGCCCAGGGAGAGGAGAATAGTTCAGAAGCACAAGAAACTATTTGTGAGCTCTGACCTTTGGGAAAGCGGCCTGTCCTGTTTACACATCCTCTCTCCAGATTTGCACAAGCTGACCACAGAGACGGCACCCTCCAAGCCTGGGTAAATAGAGGCCACCCAATAGTCTCCAGTCTGCCAGTGGCTACTGAGCCACCCAGGGAGCCCAGAACCCTGCACCTAGCAACTGTGATAAACGTGGAAGAATGCAGGCAGCCTAAGGCTCCTGACCTTAGGTCGCTGGAGCAGAGGTGCATTTTTTTGGGGAGGAGGCCGCGCCCTCTCTGGCTTGACTCTTAGGGCCAGTCATCCCGCCTAGAACTCCATTACACCCAGAGGGAAGGAGGGCAAGAGGAAGAAGGCTGTCTCTTACTCAACAGCACATGTCTGGATGAATCAGGTCTCCTTTGGAAAACAAAATGGGAAGAAGGGGTGTGTCCTTCTTCTCTTTTTTTTTTTCTTTTTTTTGGTGGGGGGAGAGATTTTCACTATAGGGCGCGTGCACTCGCCAGACAGACAGAGAGAGACATAGAGACAGAAAGCGAGAAATCACCCCCCAGGGGGGATGGTCACGCTGCAATCCCTTCTCCTCCATTCTCCTCTCGGGATTTTGGGCACGCACGCGCACGCGCCCGGTGTGAGTTTTAAGCCACCGGGTCCGGGACGCGAACCGCGGTCGACTACGTGGGAGTCCAGCGACATAGCCATTACGCTAACTGCTGGTTCCCCTTCTTTTTTAAAATAGATATTTGCTATAGGACACATGCGCTCACTGGAGAGACAGACAGAGACAGAAAGCGAGACATCACCTCCCAGGAGGAACAGCCAAGCTGTAATCCTTTCTTCTCTATTCTCCTCTTGGGATCTTGGGCACGCATGCACACGTGATGCTCCTGGCATTGCGTTTTAAGCCATTGGGTCCAGGGGCACTGGGAGATGCCACCCTTCTCCTAAAATGGGTCTTCTGGGTGAGCACAGTTGCCTCCCTGGGCCCTATGAGGGGCAGAGAGGGGTCCCGCACTCTCTATAGTAAAATGGAGTTGGCCCTTAGCCCCTGTCTTGTGCCCTTATCTGCCCCCATCCCAGAGCCTAGCTCTGCAAGTGAGGTGAGGCCTTCACTCCTAGGATCGGGATGCGGATTCAATCAAAGTAATTTATGTGAATGTCTTGAGCCCAGAATTGAGCGAATAAAAGTGCTTGCTCTTCCCTGTGGTAGATACTGCCCACTGAGGGAGGAGGGGAGGAAGTAGCTCTCACATGAGCTTGGGCTTCCTGGGACTGCCCCAGGCCCTTCACGTCCATGTCTACCGTCCTAGCCAAGATCCCCCCCTGACTGGCCTAGGCCTCTACTCTCACCTCCCGCAGCGTATGCTACACATCATTTTCTCTTTTTCTTTTTAGAGAGATTTTTGCTGTAGGGCATGTACTCGCCAGAGAGACAGAAAGTGAGAAATTGCCCCCCCGCCCCGGGGAGATGGCCAAGCTGCAATCCCTTCTCTTCCATTCTCCTCTTGGGAGTTTGGGCACGCACACACACGTCTGGTGTGAGTTTTAAGCCACTGGGTCCAGGACTCGAACCACAGTCAACTACATGGGAGTCTAGTGACATAACCATTATGCCATATGCTGGTCCCATAGCAATCTTTTTTAAAGTTTATTTAAAATGTTTATCTCTTCTGTGAAACACACACAGAGGGAGACAGAGACAGAGACACGCCAACAGTGCCTTCATGCTGCAATCCATCCCAGACTCCGTCAGCCAGGATCATGGGCCGTGTCCAGCATGTACAAGGAGACCAGGGACAGAACCCAGTACCTTCCCACATCGCCTCGGCATCATTGAGCCATGCATCGGTGCTGGGGCACAGGGGCTGGCCCAGAGTGATCTTTTTGAAAAACATAAATAATATCTTATCACTTTCCTGTTAAAATTCTCCAACATTCCCATCAGAGTAAAATTTAAACCCCTTGGGGCCGACGAGTGGCATGGTGGTTAAGGGTGCTAGAGTTCCATATGACTGATTCAAGTCCCGGACCTGGTGGCTTGCTTTCTCACTTTCTCTCTCTCTGTCTCTCTCTTCCATCTCTCTCTCACTTTGTCCCTCTCTGGTCAAATTAAAATCAATAAGTTAAAATAATTAAAAAAAAAAAACACCTTGCCACGGGCTATGAGTGCTAACATAATTGTGTTCTGCCGACTTCACCTCCCATCATCTCCCCATTGCCCACCTCTGGCAGCCATGCTGACTTTTCTGCTCCTGAGCTGACCGCACTGTCCTCTCCTCAGGGTTTACTTATTTATTTTTAAATTTGTCATTATTTTTCTTTAATTTGACCAGAAAGGGAGAGAGAGTGCGAAAGCGAACTGCAGATGGTCTGGGACTCGAACCATCTGCCATATGGGAGTCTAGAACCTTAACCACCATGCCACCTGCCAGCCTTCCTCAGGGCTTTTTTCCTAGCTAGTACCTCTGCTTACAACACCCTCTGTTCTTGTCACCTCTCCTGAAGGTCTTGTCTGACCACCCAACTAAGTTAGCTCCTCCCGCACCCCATCACTCTTCCGCTTACTTTATAGCAATGCTAACCTGACCAGCCCTGCCTATGCCTATCATCGTTGACTTGTTTATTGTCTGCTTCCCCCACAGCACGACCGCTGGAGAGAAGGGACCGGTCTGTGGCTCCGGTGCTAAGCCGAGCCTGGCACGTGGTAGAGCTCGGTACCATTGCATGAACGACCTTTCACATCCTCGCCTCGTGAGGTCTGCGCACACGGAGGCTGGGCCAGCTCTGGATCAGAGCTCTACCTTCTGACCTCCGAGCGCCCCTTCCCACGGTGGGAGCAGCTCCCCTTCGCTCCCCACTTTCCTCACACAACCCCCCTCTTCAGGGAGGGTAGAACTGACCTCCTGGCCTCCAATCCCTTCTGAGAGGTTGGTCGCTCGGCCCTTACGCCCCATATTTCGGGGGCTCGGAAACACCACCCTTTGGCTAATATAGACCCTCCCTGGGTCCCATCAGGGGTAGAGAGGAGTCCTGCGCTCTCTGTAGTAAAATGGGGTGTGCCCCCTAGCTCACGCCGCCCCTTTTCCTGGCAAGAGACCCACAGGGCCTTGTGGGGACGAGGTGAAGGGTCTGGCGTCAAGGGCACGGAGGACATCCAGGCCCGATTTGGGGAGAGGCCAACTGCGCGCAGCGGAACCTTTCTTCACGCCGGCCTCGCTTGCCCGCCGGTTGGTTTTGGGAGAGACACGCCTCTTAACCGTCCCTCCCGCGGCCGCCCTCCCCTTCCCGGCCCCGTCTGCGGAGGCTCGCTCTCCTCCCGCCCCAAGTTCCGGCGCCGCTCCTGCGGGAGGGCTTCGCATCACCCCGGGGCCCACGTGTGGGTCTCCGCCGCCATCAGCAGCGCCCGGCCTTCTGAACTCCGGTGGGCGAGGGCCTGTGGGTTTCCTCCCGCCAGGGCTGCGGAGGCGGAGGCGGAGGCAGGCTCGGTCCCTAGGCCGGGTGGGCCGGTCGGCAGAGACGCGCCCAGCATTCGCCTTCCGGGGCGCGCGCGGTCCTCTCGGGGCCTC